GCTTCATACATAAACCAAGGCATATATGCGCGCTGTGGCGCTAAATCAGGAAACAAAGAACCATGGTTTCTTCGTGAGGTCGGGCTGAATTGCTGTTCGACATTGTATTTTTTTTCTTGATATGCTCTAAAAATCTAAGAGCTATAATCTACTGTTCGCTGGCTGAAAAATACCGCCAAAGTCATGCAAACACTGTTCATCCATCCACGATCCATCCTAGAAAACTTGATGTTCTAGATTAAAAAGTTGTCATAAAAAACTTTATGTTTTAGCTCAGCATGCCTCCATACAATCCTTTTAATGAGAGGCTTATTATTTAATTGATGATATGGTTCACCTTTAACAAATGTGGATACATGTGTAATTTTTCATTAAGTTTTTATTTTAACGGTGGTGTCTACTCTCTACTGTCACTGAGAGGATCATCATCATGTACTACTAGTGTACTACTCCCTCTATGAACTGGACGTCTGGACAGACAGCAGGGGAGCACTATACATAGCAGAGCACTCCGCCTTTGTCATTCGCACTCTGCTCCGCTCCTTCGTCTTCGTCGTCCTCTCTTCTGCCTGCCAACTGCCATCGACGACCCCCCGCAAGGCAAGGTAAATGGCCGCACTCGCCACCCCTCTCTCTACACCTTGTTTCTTTCTTTCTTAGGTTTTGCTTACTGATGAAAAGAGTACTGGATCGTTCCACTCTGCAATTCTCAATCTTTTTCTTTGCTGCTTGCCTTCTGCCCAATCTTGCTTTTTTCTTTTGGGTTGCCCTCATCTCCATGGATTACTTCTCTTCCTCTTCTCTAGGGCGATGGCGGACCTCTCCAATTCTGAATCCTTTTCTCTGTTTCTTTGCTGCTTGCCTTCTTCTGCTTTGCCTGTTAGCAGTCTCACCTCACTTGCCTGCAATCTGTCTACTGCCAAGAAACCCCCAATCTATTCCTCCAAGAAAACCCCACTTTGCCACCTTTTTCTTTTTCCTGTTCTATAATTTCGCCCAGAAATATCCTAGCCGCCCTGTCTTCTTCACCACATCCTCCTCCTCTTGTTTGCCGCGACGACTCCAAAGTCTACTGCAAACTTGGATTCTATCCGCTGCAGTTTCTGATTCCGACACCATCCACCCAGTCATATCCTTTGGTGTCCGGGGCCTCAATTTCCCCCCGTTTCTCAAACGTGTGGAGGTGCCTGGAATTTGCCCCCAGATATCTTCCCCTAAGTTGAGGCCTAGCACCGGAAATTTCAACTTATTTGATAGCTACTGCTACGCACCGAAATTTCCAAGGTTTTCCCTTCGAAAGAAAAAGGGGGGCAAAGGAGAGGTTTTTGTGTCGTATATAAACACTCCCCGCAAGTCTTGTGAATTTCGTCAACGTCGAGGTCGACCGCTTAGCACGCAATTGCATGCCGATTTTATATCCCATCATCATCATCCTTATAAAACAATAAAAGCGACAATGCGACATGTTCTGCTTGTATGTTTGCTCTAATTCTTCAAGTGGGGATCAGTCAACCTCCTAGATGATGCTGACCCACCCAGTTTGCTTCCTTTTTATGTGTTTATATATGATGAATCCGTCGTGGAGACAGCTAATAACGAGGTGATAATTGAGCAGGCTTTACTGAGTTTAGTTGCTATTTAAGGTGCCAAGTGCAGATACCTTCCCTGCCTCACAAACAACGCCACCCTGTCATTTAGGCATTTCGCCCTGTCCTGATATATACCATCAGGGTCTTCTCTCCTGCTTTGCCGTTTCAACGAGGGCAGGTTCTCTTCCTGCATTCTTCCAGTCTTCATTCTGCTTTGATGTGTGCTGTAGAACTAAGTCGCTATTTCCTTCTCTTTGTTCTATATATGGTGCGGTGGATCTAGTAACTGGTGTTGGTTTCATCTTGATAACGGTAGCTGGTCTTAGTTACCTTGGGCTACACAGCTCTCCTTACTTGTTCATCCCTGTTTGTGCATTAACCTATAGCCTCTGAAGTACTGAATGTTTACAGGCGATTTAAATTCTCTTGCTTTACAGCAAGGTTTTAGTTTCTGAAGAGAAAATTAATGCCTCATGGAGTTGGAATCGTTAGGTTCTAAGCTGCACACATCATTTAAGGCCGGCGGAACTTGAATTAAGAGTGAGAATGTGTTCTAGAGTAAAGTTTGAGTTTATGGAGATGGTTACGTATTTGTTCTCCTTAGTAATCATGGCCATGATGCAACTCCATTTTTTGAGGAAAATTCATGATGCTACTTTGGAAGCACAAGTTTAGATGGTGTCCTGCTTTTCTCTGAGGAAAGGGATGCTTGTTCTCTGATTAGTGTACCAATTTGGCTTTATGATAGGAGAAAAATTGAATTGAATCATTCTGGTGCTACAGTCTCCTATGTGCTGTCGTGAATCATTCTGATTAGTGTACCAATTTGGCTTTATGATATATGAAATATTCAGGTGCCAGCAGAAGTGATCCGTGGACTGTAGCTATGGGCAACCTGTGCTGCTGTGTTCAAGTTGACCAGTCGACTGTGGCCATCAGGGAGCAGTTTGGCAAGTTTGACAGCGTGCTTGAGCCAGGATGCCACTGCATGCCTTGGTTCGCCGGGAAGCGTGTAGCTGGTCATCTCACACTCAGGCTGCAGCAACTGGATGTGCGCTGTGAGACCAAAACAAAGGTATGTCCTAAAGTCTGTCAAGATAAATGGCCAGATACCTGCATACCCTTCATTCTTTTTATGAGCAAAGAGGAGAGCTGTCATTTTGATGCAGTATTAGTTTGAGAGCATGAAGTTAATGATGGCCTAGTCCTTTCTGGGTTATAAAGCTTGGCAAAAGTGTTATAAAAGTAATCTAGGACACTGTTCCAGGATAGGTAGTGAAACAAACTAGATCCTTCTGAAAGCTTGTACTCTGTTGATTTGATAAGTTCCTTCAATTTATAGATCAGATGCATGCTAACCTGCCTTGAGAATACAACAATGATATGAATACTGCATATGCAGAAGCTTTTTACTCTTTGCTCAAAAAATAAATGCAGAAGCTTTGCTCACAAGTCTAGTATCTGAATGGTGATGAGCGATATTGATTTGCCAGTTATGGTAACGCTGCTAACACCTGAAGTTGTGCAGGACAATGTCTTTGTCAATGTGGTGGCATCTATTCAGTACCGCGCTTTGGCTGACAAAGCAAGTGACGCGTTCTACAAACTGAGCAACACAAGGTCCCAGATCCAAGCTTACGTCTTTGACGGTAGGAATTCTTGGAACAATTGAAGATTTAACATATCAGACACCACTTTGTCTATATCTATGTGCTGTTTTTTTCCCTGTTGTTAGTTTGTGGAAGTATATATTTGGAATTGCTCACGCTATCGTATTGCTCATGGTGGTGTCTCTGGTTGCTGTCAACAGTTATCAGAGCTAGCGTTCCCAAACTCCATTTGGACGATGCTTTCGAGCAGAAGGACGAGATTGCAAGGGCAGTGGAGGAAGAGCTTGAGAAGGCCATGTCGGCTTATGGATTTGAGATCGTGCAGACTCTCATCGTGGACATTGAGCCAGACGAGCACGTGAAGCGCTCTATGAATGAGATCAATGCAGGTTCGTTGGTTGACGCTTAACAGGTTAAGAACTATTATGCTAAAAAAAACAGGCTAAGAACTACTAGACATAGTGACCAGCTTTGTTTTCTATCATATGCTGACACTGACACTCTAGTGGTTGCTGTTGCCCTTTCGATTTGGCAGCTGCGAGGCTGAGGGCGGCTGCAAATGAGAAGGGAGAGGCAGAGAAGATCGTGCAGATCAAGCGTGCGGAGGGGGAGGCGGAAGCCAAGTACCTGTCTGGGCTGGGAATTGCGCGGCAACGGCAGGCGATCGTGGACGGGCTGAGGGACAGCGTGCTGGGGTTCTCCGTGAACGTGCCTGGGACCACCGCCAAGGACGTCATGGACATGGTGCTCATCACCCAGTACTTCGACACCATGAAGGAGATCGGCGCGTCATCCAAGGCATCGTCGGTGTTCATCCCACATGGCCCAGGCGCAGTGCGCGACATCGCCACGCAGATCCGCGACGGCCTCCTTCAGGGCTCCTCTGTCACCCAGCACTAGTTTGCTGTTGCTGACTGGAGCAGCATGATCATTTCTGGAGCTTGGTAGCAGTATACTATATGATACCGTCAGTCAGACCAATGTGATGCTTGTCTATATTGTTCGTCACTCATCAGTGTTTCTCTGGAGCTGGGGTGATCAAGGTGTGGAACATATATAGTGCTTTCAAGAACCATCTGCTACTGCTAGGATGGTTATCTTGATGCATGGGGATTGGAGAACCTTTATCTAATCTTTTAGGGAACCGATAATACCATAAATATAATGCAGCATGAGTTTGCAGTATGTTCTTGTGTCATGTATGTTGCCTGAATTCAGATGTTGCTGCCGGTGAACATGTTGGTCCAGAATGCAGAGGGGTGAATGGAATGTGCTCAATGTTGCCAGAACGAGAAGGACCTGCCACTGTTGCCACGAGTAAGAGTGAATGATACACATGAACAGTAATGGGGCATCATAGCACAGCATAGAATTGCTTTCGAACACCCTAACATGAACGGTGACGCTTTGCTTACTTGCTTTAACTCCTTTCTCCTTAATTCATGTCTCAAAAAGAGAAAAAGGTGAAGGGAAAGGAAAAACTTTTTTTAATCAAGGGGAGCCAAAATCTTGCCCAGCTGAGCTGAGCTCCACCGTCTCCAGCTTACTAACCACACCATGTACAACTCAAGTTAAGAGCTAGTAGTAACAGCTAAACCTCTGCCACAAGAATCTAATCTGTCCGCAGATGCAGGTAACTTCCCCATCGATATCACCGTGAAAAGTCTCTTGCCCGGTTGACTGTCACAAGTCACAACACAGAAGCAGATCACAGCATCACATCCCTAAATTACCCGCCTCTCCAATTTCCCAATCTTCAGTTCAATCATATGGGGACGATGACAAGTCAATCACCGGAGCTCTACTTGCCATTGGTCCTCGGCATCGGCGACTGCAGATACGGAGAAGGAGAACCATGGCCGTGGCGGCCATGGGAGAGGCTCCTCACCTGCTGCTGTCCGTTCCGAGTTGCAAAGCTGCTGTGCTGGCTCATGCTCCGGCTGCCACTCGGGTAGCCAAGCCTTGCAATCTGCTCTGCTTGCAAGGACAGGTACAGGCCGGGTGAAGATGCCACCATGTCTTTGAGGTCAGGGAGAGGCTTGAGGATCTCCACGACCTGGCTCATCAGAGGCCTGGCCTTGGGATCCCGGGCGAGACAGGCGCGGGCCAGCTGGGTCACCTTGTAAGCGCCTTTCAGGGAGATGTTCCCACCAAGTTTAGGGTCCATCAGGCTTTGGAATCCTTGTCTCTGTTTCAGATGGGGCCGAGCCCATTCCACAAGGTTGTGCTCCCCTGCTGGTCGGTTCTTGTCCATCGATCGCCTGCCTGTCATGAGCTCCAGCAGCACCACCCCAAAGCTGTACACGTCGCTCTTGGAAGTCAAGTGACCTGGAAATGGTAACTAGTTTAGCAATGCATAGAACAGTACTGAAAACTAGGAAATTCTGTTTATGCATGCAAACTATGCAGTCACTTCAGTATGGCACTCTTCCATTATCTAAAAAAAACTTCAGTATGGTACTCATTTGAATGGTGTTTATTCTATACCAGGATGTGTACAGGTATCCATTCAGTTTGTTAGTTTGAATGGCATCCAACCAAAAATTTTGAAATTCAAAGCAGAGAATTTAATCCAACCCAGTGCCACCTCAGTATCATGCTTCTCTGACCACTTAATATAGCAACAAACTTGACAGCTAGTGCACAACCTAGAGTGCACATGGGAACCATAAATATCTGTAATCACATAATACAAAGATGGTGTGGCATAGTACATGCGATAAATGTGTCGTGCAGATATAACACCTCTGCATACAGACTGCATCTTTCTTGTCAAATCACTACAATGTTTAGTCAAGGACCACCATCTCTTTAGGAACAATATTTTCAACCTAGATGACTCTGGTGGTAAGCTATAGTTGACATACCAACGGTCACTAACAGCTTTTAATATAGCTGGAGTTTTTTTGTACGAAATTAATATAGCCAAAACAGATATAGATAACACAGTAATTTGCAAATCAGTAGACATCTTGATATACAAATTTCAGCATATGCTCAGTAGGATGACATCAATAGTTTGCAAGTTCAAAGTTACCCAACCAACAAATTCAATTATTTTACTAAAAAAGGACAAAGATCACCTTACCTGTCATAACATATTCAGGCGCAGCATACCCATAGGTTCCCATGACTCGCGTTGACACGTGGGTCATATCACCTATGGGACCATCTCGAGCAAGCCCAAAATCAGAAAGTTTCGCATTGTAGTCCTGGATGGAAAAATATGTTGAACAAAGGACAAGCATGAGGATCTAAAAAAAAGTAAATGTGTTTCATTAAAAAAAGGTAAGGCATAAAGAAGATATATACTGTGTCAAGTAGAACATTGGAAGTTTTGAAATCCCGATAGATCACAGGTCTTTCAGCTTCTTCGTGAAGAAAGGCAAGGCCCCTTGCTGCGCCCAGTGCAATTTTCATTCGAGTGGACCATGGAAGTGGCACTGACTCTATTTAATCATGGTTATTGCACAAAACAACAAGTTAACTGACATCCACCATAAATATAAAAACCAAAATGAATTTCAGTGGATCAAGCATTAAACAGTACCAATATTTGGAGAAATAACACAAAAAGTGGAAAAAAAAGAGAGTGTGTAACAGCTAACAAGTCACAACCAGCAAACTTCATGGGTCAACACATTTCAAGACCTTCCCCACCAAAAGAAAAGGAAAAGAAAAGAAAATGCGTTTCAATACCTAGCCAGCAAACTTTTTTGAGCATGATAACCAGCAAACTTCAGGGGTCATGAGCTACCATCATTGTAGCTGGCTGCAGTCACAAAATGATTTTGACAAGAAAGGGGCATATTTTCATCTGAAGTTTGTAGTCTATGACAACTGAGGAAAGAAAAAACTGTAAAAAATATCATAAAAAGGCATATTATAAGCTCTAGTCTCAGGGTCAAAGATAGCATGATACGTGCTACTTTGTCCAGGTCAATAGATGCCAATTTTCTGAAGCAACAAATTTTCGGTCTGGCGGTGTGATCTGGCCAATTACACGTTCCTCCAGATGGCACTTTGCACAATGCAACCATTTGCAATATAAGTTCTTCCACAATACATTGACTTTTCAAATGACCAATTCAGATAACTCATCGACTTAGGAAGCTAGCAACATATGCTTAAAATAAAGATGTAACAGATGCCAGATGCTTACTCCTGAAGAGATGGTGCTCTAAACTTCCACGGGGCATAAATTCATATACTAACTGCCTCTGGTTATCCTCAAGACAATAACCAATCAATTTCACCAGGTTCGGATGTTTCAGATTTCCTAGAAAGTTGACCTCTGCCTGAGAAAACAAAAGGTCCATTTAAGATTTGAATACAAAGAATGTTAGTTCAAACCTCTATGTATCAAAGACAAGCAAAACATACCACCCACTCTTTGTGCCCTTGCTGCCCATCACGATTGAGAGTCTTGACAGCAACAGTTAACCCTGTGCCGGGCCTCCCAGGAGCAGTTCTGTTCTCTCCAATCCAACCTTTGTAGACACGGCCAAACCCTCCCTCACCAAGAAGACTCTCAGGACGGAAGTTTCTGGTGGCGATCCTCAATTCATTGAAAGTAAACTTCCGCAATTGGAATGATACCGTCAGCCCATCTGCAACTATAGATGGGGGTGAAATATTTTCAGAGTTGCTAGGCAATGTCGAAGCAGGAGCTATCTGTTGAACATGTTGGTTCTGGATACCATTATTCTTTCCTCTAGTTTCTGCATCCAAAAACATAAATATTAAACTACGATAATCGGCAAACCTTTGGCAAAATGAACCAAAAGACATAACTTGGACTGACTCAATGGGACTTAAAACAAAATAAGCACACTGTTTTCCAAGCATGAGGCAACAAGCTAAAATAGATGCTTTGTGAAGCTAAACAGAAGGAAATATGCCTTCATTCGTGTCATTAATGGCTTGAAGCAAAATTATGGTGCCCAGTGCTTCCTACACGTACATTCCAATTAATTCCCAGAAAATGCAGGTCCTAGCATGAGCTCGTGGATAAATGTCACAAAAGTCCAATGTTCCGTTAGTTTTGTATAGCTGCAAATGCACATCATATTTAGCACAAAGTGTAACGTATGAAGAAATCTTGTTGTTGCAAATTCTACGAGCATGCCACACATTTACAATTTTAGCAATATATAGTACAAGTTGGCGAAACATAACCAATCAAAGAATAATTCCCTACTTTCTTGTTCTTTCCATAGAAAATATAAACCTTAGAACAACATTCCAAACCATGCATACATCCCAGAAAACCAAATTAGCATCTCCCTGCACATGAAACAGTTCCAAACCTACGGCATTGCAAAAAGGCAAGTGAAATAGACACATAGTTCAGCTTGAGCCGCCAAAGCAATAATTTACAGGAGCAGTCCAGCATGCCAGGAATGTGATAAGCACAACATTATCATCCCCTAATAGCACAATCTACGAGGCTTACACCCTAATTCCTCCAACCCAAACACCCAAAAATTACATAGGGATCATTCAACGGCACACATGGGGCACAAACACCCATGAAACACATAGGGATCATTCATCAGACAACAAGACAACAGGACACAGGGCACCCAAACCTGGAGGCCTGGAGCACAATGACCGGGATTCATACACCTCAAAACACTCAAAAACTACTGTGTGCCTGTGTCTAAGCAGTAAGCACACTAGGTCACTATCATCGTGCACAGTAAACAGCAGTTCCAATGTTACATTCAGCATTGCAAACAGGTGACAGAAACAGGCCACACCTTCAGGTTGACCATCAAAGCATCAACCAACAGTACGAGACTAGCTTGCCACACATTGCGCACATGCGCAGAGGATGGACAGCTCTAGCACCACAGATGGCAGATGGCACGTACATGGATCATACACATTGCTAACCTGGGACACAGACACAGAGATGGCATGTATGGATCATACACACACACATTCCTACTTTCTAGGCCGCTGGCACACATACAAAGTATATGGATCATACACATTCGTGTTTTGTCCGTGGCAGAGACACAGATGGCGTGTATGGATCATACACAGCACAACACATTTACCGAGCTCCCAATCCCAAACCCAAAGCAGCCGCGATTCCCTCATACCGAGCGGCAACCGGCAGGCACAAAATCTACAAGCGGCACAAGCATACATACGTCCCCCGAGACACGCTGGCAGAGGAGGAGAGCGTGAGGATCGGAGAGGCATTACCGGAGACAGCACGGGCGGTCGCGGCGGCGGTGTCGACCTTGGCGCGGGCGGAGGAGGAAGAGACGCAGAGGCGGATCCAGCACGACACCGCGGCGGAACCCTGGCGTCCTCCGGTCCCCCGCTCGCTCCGCGGACTCCCATTCGGCCGGCCCGCTGAGCTCCCGACGCCCATCTCTCCTGCAACCGCTGAGCTCACACCGAGACAAACACGCCACACTGAACCACAGCAGGCACGGAATACTCCGAATCGCGAGGAGTCCGCGGCAGCCGGACAGGAATCGGAATCTCCGGTGCGGGGGAAGCGGCGTGAGGAGGGTGGCAGCCGGCGTGGTGAAGAGGAGAGCGGCAATGGCAGTGGCAGTGGAGAGCGTCGGAATGGAATGGAAGGCACAGGGAGAGAAGAGAGGCGACAGGGGGGAGACTGGGAGAGGGTGGTGGGTGGGGCCCACCGATGTGTTGTGGGGGCGCTAACACAGACAGGCAGGCCGGGCCGGGTAGGACCCAGCAGCGTCTGGGCAGGGCTGCCGGAAATCCTACGCATATGCATTTGCATTTTGGTGTGCGGGTAGGGCCCTGCTCCATTGGTGGCGGACTGGCGGCGGCCCTGTTACGGCGACCTCGTCGGCGGCGATGATGACTGGGGGTATTAGTGATGTGGCAGTAGGGAGTCCACCAAAGTGGGTGAACCGGGCGGAGGACGTGACGGCACGTCTCAGGTGTATGTGTACTTCCTCCATCCGCAAAAGGAACGTAATTATAAAAATCGTGCCGGTCAAATTAGTTTAAGTTTAACTAAATTTATTTTAAATAATATTAATATTTATGTTTTCAAATAAATTTATTATAAAAATATATTATATAACTAATCTAATGGTACTTATTTTGAATCTTGAATGTTAATACATTTTTATACAAATTCAGTCAAAATTTAAATACCTTGACTTCTCGAAAAACGAGAATTGCATTCTTTTGTGGACGGAAGAAGTAGTTTGAACTCTGAATAGGAGAGAGTGTCAAGTACTGCACCGTCAAATGCCAAATAGATCATTGGAGAAATGGTCACAAAGATGAATGCCATCCTATAGGTGATGGTGCCACACGAGATGATACATCTAAAAATGTGATGGCTGGAGGAGAGCTTAAAGATATACCATCGGAGGAATCCACTAACTACCAGAAATGTGGTGGCAATAAAGATACACTTTATTCTCAGTTTACGGGAAAGTCATAATCTCTATTAACTATGCCAATGGGCATGTAGTTAGTGGTAGGGTTGTCTAGTACTATCTATCAGGGTTTAAATTCTGGTTGTCGCACCTTTTTATAGATTTTTTTTTAAATTTAAGGTACACGCACGCATGCACGTTCGGTTGTACCGCGTGTTTTCCCCATGCACAAGCGTGTGTGGTGTGAGTGTGGAGTGTATCGGGGTGTGTGCGTGTGTGGTGAGTGTGAAGTGTGTGCGTCAAGTTATACGATAAAAAAAACTATCGATTGTTCAAGGCTTTCAACTTCAAGTAAAATTTGCAAAGTTCATGACAGTACTGTTCGTGAAAAGTCTTACTGCTCATGACCAGTGTGCTGGGTTGGAACCTGAACCGGAGCAGTCCAACAAGCAAGCTCTTGGTGCAGAAAACCATGAAGGCTTAAGAAATTTGCCATGCATGCCAGCAGTTGACAAAGGGATTGAAGATTGGCACTTTCAAAATTTATGAGTTGAATTCTATCACCAAAATATTCTATTTTTTAAAGAAATTTCACTGAAAGATTTTGTCTCTATCAAAATTTGGAGTGATTGAAATTTTGACGTGACTGATCCTCGAGTGTACAGTACACATTATAATGGCGGCCTCCAACCGAAGTATTTGCAGACAGAACTAGCAGACATAGGCAATCGGCTTTATCGCATTCAACTTGGTCTGCTCGATTTATTGGTCTGGCAGGGATTAAGTACTGCTCATTTTCTTGATTGAGCGAATTAAATGCTTACAAACGTTTCGAATTTAGAATTCGCGCAAAGATTTTGGATTTGTGTTTGTCACAGCGTGCCATCTTCCTGGGCCAGACGCGTTGAAGCAAAAACAGGCCCAATTTCTTAACCTCGTGGGTCACAGTCACAGACCTCTCAGGCCCAGAAGAGTTGTGGGTGGCACATTTTCCTGGTTTCAGAAAAATGGGCTAGCCATTTTCCTGCTTTAAGAGAAATGTGTGGGGACAAAGGAAGAAAAATGCTTTACACATGAGTTTGGGCTTCTAGAAACACTTGGAAAGTTGGAATTTTGGGCAGATAATAATGCTTTGTCTGAGGATAATACAAGAGCATACTACCAATCACGCATATTGGCCGGTTATTGGTATTACAGTATCTGGCAAGCTCAAAGAGGCACATGATCAATCATGCGTGTGCAAATACAAGCGCAATCACAGCTGGAGCTCGTTAGAAACCGTTGCGCCCAATCAGGATGGAAATGGACACGCACGGCACGCAGCATAACTAAGACCACGTGCAATACAAAATTCAGCAAAGACCCAAACACCATGGAGACGCATCACGACTTGCTAATACCTGGCTATAGCTATAATTAATAAGTATATAAATAATAATGTATGTACTATATATATATTTCTTCCAGGATCAAAATAAGATGTCTACAGCACTAGTGACTGGACTGCTTGCTAATACTCATCATTCTAGAAAAGCAAGATCTACGGCACTGGACTGCTAATCATGATGCTATGCTAATACGCCACCAAAACGCCAGCACATAGAATAGAGGTCACCAGCACAGCACGCTGGTGTCCCCTTGATTCCTTCCAAGAATTACCCTTTGGTTAGACTTAGAAGATGAACAAAATATTTGTGGCAGGCTACGGTTAGTTATATATATGGCCCTGTTTGCTGGAAGAAATCTAGAGGAATTTGTGAGAGCGTGAACAGTGATTTTCATCCGGGAACAGTGGATTCCGGCTGGTTTATATATAATATGTATATGTATGTGACACTAAGATATGACGCAGCAGGGTGAGGCTGGAAGGTGAGATGGATCATCAGGATGAGGTGATCCCAGACTCCAGCTCAGGGACCAAGCTGTTGGGCTTCTGCTCCTCCCAGACCAAGCCGATGTCATACTCCGGGACATAGTCCTGGCCAAAAACAAAACCGATTGAACTGAACAATCAGTGAACTAATAAGCAGTTTCATATTATCACTCTAGGAAGTAGGAACGTTGAATATAAACAAGAGTGATGTAGCTAGCTAGGGGTTGGGTCAAACCTCCAACTTCATAACTAGCTCCTTGGCTGTTGGGGCTGAGATGATGATGCGCCTCGCTGCCTCCGTGATGAAGCCTTCGTTGACAGCCAAGTCGATGAAAGACAGAAGAGGGTCATAGAATCCGTCAACGTTCAAAAGGCCAACCTGGTGATGACGAGATTTTCAAGAAATTACATGAAAGCAGTAGTAATATTGGACATGATTGGTGAATGATCCATCATATACCAGCAGAATCGTATCTGATGATATCACCACATGAATAAATAGCAACTTTGTGGGGGCCATTGAGCTCATAATAGAGACGGATAAGGGATACAAGAAGAGAGAAGCATAGACTTGACCGTTCTAATCCTCCCACAACCCCACCCATTTTGTATCTCGATCACTAACCAATTATTTAGCATACAGAAGACCAAACATTGCCTTGTGCGTGCAACACGTAATACAGTATTAAGATCCCCCAGCCATCATTCCATTAGCCGTGTGGGAATATTCATAAACTATGATGAATATCTTATTAGAGTGCGATATAAAAGATGGAGAACGCAGATCGCATGCCCTAGGTCTCGACAATATTCTGATGCAGTGACGTCCACAACATGTTGACTAAACTATCGTTTCAATAATTTGATGGCTAGCTGTGGCGGTAAGGATGAAACCCTTTTAGTCACATGTGAACAAAGCAAGATGGGAGCATCAGATCACAACGGCTCTAACAACATTTTAGTAAACAAATCTGCACTTATGACACCTACGAAAGCAAAATGTGTCGACACAACACATACAAACAAGTGGATTGCCTCCAGATGAGTAACAATGGATGAATTTTATTCTAGAAGCACCTAGAATGGACGAAAGAAGGTTCGGACTTTACCGGCTTCTTGTGGATCCCCAGTTGTGCCCAAGTGATGATCTCAAGCAACTCCTCTAGAGTTCCATAGCCACCTGCCAGTTCAATGGAAGGGAAAACAATTACACACGCATAATCAGTTTTTCTGAAATGTTAACTAGAGAATAAAATTGGGTAGACTAGTATATATATACCTGGTAAGGCAACAAAAGCATCGGCAAACCGAGCCATCTCAGCCTTCCTCTCGTGCATGCCAGAAACGGCTCTAACTTCGCCAACAGGTTCTCCAGTTACCTGCAAATCCAGCAATAGAACACAGTAATTAATTAAAGTGTAATGGACTAGTAGCAACAAAGTACATATGTAGGCTTTTGGACTCAACTCACCTCTCTGGGCATCAGTGATTTTGGAATGATCCTGCCAAAATGAAGAGGGGAAACAGAAAAGGCTCGTTAATTTCTGGCAAAAGAGGTCAAACAAGTACAGGAGCAAGCAGCTGATCCTTTTCCGTGTAAATAAACTAAGCCCGGACAGACTTGAAATGGGCTAGACCGCTAGAGAGATGGTGTGCAATAATTTGACTCCACAACGAGAGGGGCAAAGAGCCGGCTTGCATGCAGCCGAGCACCCTACCCGCCCATTTGGAGCATGGAACCAACTAGCCTTTCGAAAAGAAGAGCGAAAAGTTGCTTCCACTTCGGTGAAACGAATGCAATCGGCATGGCTTGCCCCCTGCTCCCCCAACGGGCAATGGAGCGCCCAGACGACCCCAACAGCTGGCTGACCGACGAAATAAAGCTGGCATTTCTGCAGCCAAGGCTGCCGTTTTGGTGCAGTGAGTTGGTGCCTGGAAACAAAGCGCCCAGACGGGCAGACCCCAGGACCAGAGAGCGCCATGGCATGCAAAGACCACCACAAAAGCACCAAGCAAACAAGAACGGCAATGGCGGGATAGCCGGGTAGGAAGGGGAGGGGAGAGAGATGAGAGATGGTGATGGATACTAACCCCATGACATGGCGACCTCCGGCGTGTACTGCGTGGGAGACCGATCCCATGAGGCCGATGGAGCCCCCGCCGTAGACCAGGTCTATGCCCCGCTCCACCTGCACGGCCATTGCATTGCATTGAATTCATGGCGAAACAGAAGGAAAACGCAATCATCATCAGGAAGAAAAAAGCTCTCTCTACTGCTTGCCTAGTCAATTCGTTCACGTCCATCGAAGAAACAAGACGAAATTGAACCGTGGTGCATGCAAGCGATGCAAATGCAATGTATGAGGGGGCCATGGAGAAATTTGTGCGCTCGGGCAAGCAAGCGATGCCAGGGCCATCACAGGGTGATGACGCGAAGCACAAGCCCCAAGGGGAGACGGGAAAGGAAAGGAAATGCAGATGGCAAGGCGTCGCACTGGCTGTCGGTCTGGTCATTGTGGAGCAGCGATTTTCCTAGCTAGTACTAGCTGCAGGCTTGCTAGCGCGTGAATCGGCGGGGTGGTGGGATGCAACGCTGCTGCACGATTCCATCACCCCACACAGGCAGGCAGGCAGGCAGGCAGGCAGCTCATGATGGACAGGCAAGGCCAAGTAGTAGTCGATGACATGAGGCCACGACGTCGATGATGCTCTCACGCACACGCAGCTCATCCTCATCGACGAGACTCCCAAATTAACAAGTACAATAAGCTCTAACATGCATATTAAGAGAGGAACAAATCGTGCGCCTCCAAGCACATCGCAAAGAAATCGATAGGCTAATGGAAGCGCAACACCCTCCCACCCTCCCATGGAACTGAACACAACGGGAGCTAGTGAAACCCCAAAACATGGTTGCGTTCGTTCTAGTACTGCTAGTACACGAGGAGAGAAGTGGTGTGGATCATGCACGGCACGGGATGGGCGTACTACGTACCAGCTGGTTGCCGAGTTCGATGGCCGCGTCCTGGTAGCTGGGCTTCTTCCCCTTTGCGCTGCCGCAGTAGACGCAGATCCGCCGGAAGCGGGACCGGCGCTCCGCCCCGCCGCCGCCGTTGCCCGACTCGGTCGCCACCTCCACGCCCGCCGCGGCGGTCCCGGAGGCGGTGGTGGTGGACGACGCCGCCGAGGCCGCGATGACCGGAGCCGGCGCGGGCGTCTCCGATGCGACGGCAACCGCCGTGGCTGGCGTCATGGCGACGGGACGCGCAGCGAGCGACTACTAGCTACTAGCTAGGTCCCAGTAGCGATCTGCTGCTCCCGATCGACCGGTGCTGGTGGCGGTAGCGGCGGGTTGTCGGAGAGACTAGGGAGAGATTGGACCGGGAGGCGATGCGCGACGCGAGTCGGCGGTTGAGAGAGAGAGAGAGAGAGAGCAGTGGCTGCGGCCTGCGGCGGCCGTTGCTGCGTGGTGCCTGCAGGAGGGAGAGGGAGTCGCGAGGGGCGCCGGGAGGACACTGGAGACACAGGCACGTCTCCCCTCCTCCGATTTATAGGCGTGCCGTCCGTTGCCCGGTCCGCGGGACCCACACGCTTGTCCTATTTTCTTTTTTGTTTCCTTCTTCTTTTTGTGCGTGCGTGTGTTTCATTCTTCAACCACAGCAGCATGTTTCATGGCTTGACGAGGAACGATGGTTCGAATTTGGGGCCATTTTTAGATTGCAAAAAATTTCAACCCGATGAATAGTAGTACTTTCATCTTATTTGGTAAATATTGTCCAATCGTGGACCAACTTGCCTTGCCTAAAGATTCATCTCTCCTTTTCCAACTAAACCATGGGACCCAGTTTGTCCTTTTTTCTTTTTGTTTAATCTTTTTGCTCGTGCAAACGGCTTCAAATTCTGTGATGAAGAGAGTGCATGTTTCAATTTGGCTTGATCTAAAAACGAAGGCCGAATTTGGATTACTGAGGACTGTGTGAACGTCCTTCAATGTAGGAGGAGTTTTCTTTTATATTAGTTGACATGTGCGATGAATCAAATAAACATAATGGTATAGATTTTTTTTATTTTCCATGTTTATTATATATAAGTACTACTAGTTCCTTTCAAAAAAAAATATATAAGTACTAGTACAAAAGATTTAGCAATACGGCCCAAGAGTTTAGTTACTGCTCACTCCGTTCTAATTTATAGAGATAGATCGTTTTGTCTCTTCTATGTACACAATTTTTATTATATATATCATGACATATAGTATATCTATGTGCTGCATTGGAAAAGCTACGTACCTGGAGTATGAAAGACAAAACGTAGTGTCACACGGTCCGTAGACTATTTTTTGCCTTATAATTTGTACACATGGTCCATTTGTGGTTTGTGAACTAGGTAAAGACACAAATGATGCGGCGAGGCATTTTCGCAGAACTGACAAAGACACAAATGATGTGGTTTGTTTTTTCATAGACTATTTTTCTTTAGGTTGATTTATTCAGGGACCGAGCAGGGAGTATAATCTTGTGATGCACAGTCATTAATTTCCATGGGATTAAGTGACATGGAGCGAGACTGAACTCAAAGGCAGGGCAGGTCAATCGATGGGCTGCCATGTGAGGAATCGGAGTTGGGGGTAGGCAGCAAGAATTGGGGATAGTTCAGATGAATGATTGAAATTAGAAAATTAGGGTTCATACAAATTGTTCTCACTACTCTTTCCTCTCATATAGTCTATCGCCTACTTGCTCCAGGATGGGCCGGCATAGCGGACATCGGGCTTCTTGACTCTGCTGGACCGGGCTCCTGACGGAACGGCAGTGGAGGCCGGGGTCGAAGCGGAGGCAGATGTGGGATGGACCTGGCTGTTGCATTGCATGCTACTACTCCTACCGCTGAGCATCATACGACCAGTACTCCCTACGTGCAAAAGCTGAAAAGTACAGTACAGTCGATCATCCCAATGATGGTACTGCTGCTCGATCAAGCTAGAGGCCTAATGCGGCCAATGCATGCACGCAACGCGATTAACATCCGGAGATTATAGTAGTACAGTACGTGCCCAAGCAACTTGGTCGTGAATACTTATACTTGAAATATTATAAGCCCATATATCAAGCGAACAGGGTGAACGACGTCAGCCGCCGTTACGAGCGAATGAGCCAGTAACGGCAATGATCCGTGTCCACCGAGCAAAGGAAAGAAAGGAGATGCCTGAATCCGGCCCAGCCGAAAAAGACGGACCTTGTGGGGGAGCACGAGGGCTCTGCCCCTGTGCATGCATGCGCACATTAGTTAATTACTTAATCATATAATTATGCATGCACACTAGGGTTATTTTAGCCGTAAATAAATAAGTGAACTCAAGTCAATTACTGTTCCAAACTTTAACTGCACGTCGTCACTTGTGTGTTTAAGTGTTGCCTTTACACAGTAGTATAATATATGTTTTATAGTACATTTATAAGCGATACGAGTATGTATATATATTTTTCTTGAAAACTGGTGTCACGAGACTAGTACGCATTTGTTACATAGTGGACAATATATACTGTAATTAAAAATAGACAAAATTTGAAATCTATATAGTTGACTACTGATAAGCTCAGAGATCGATCGAGAAAGAATAGCATGCATCTTAGTATATATATAGTACTCCTCCTCCTCTATGGTTGTATTTTCTCATTGTCCCATTATCATCAATCAGTTCGAAGCTACTCTTACTTTTGAGCCGCCCTGACCCGGATGGGAGGTGGTTAGTCCAGTCAATGCAATGTCGTGCAAGATCAGGATTCAATCATACATTCATGGTTAATTAATTATAAAAATAAAATTCAGATCGGCTGGGGTGGCTGGTATAACTCTGGCACCCCATTTCTTTTCTTCTTTACTAGTAGAAGATAAAAATATAATAAAAACCCTCTGCTAGCTGCTTCTCCAGACGAAACCAACGCCTACTTGCTAGCGCTTGCTTGTTGTGGAGTTTCCTGCTCGATCAGGTGTTGTTGGCCTGGTGTTGGTCATCCATCGTCCCCGTACCCATCCCCATCCCCTGACCAACTCCCAAGAGTTGGAGTCTGTCTCAGTCCAATGCAACTCAAGTGCTGCCACTTGCCTTATCATACTCCACGCCGACCTCCCCAACTTGGCGATTCATCAGCAGGTTCAGTTCCTCCCCCTGAACCCTGAACGAAACAAAATCATGCTCACGGTCCCGGCTACATATATATACTCCCACCATCCACAAAAAGATACAACCTAACTATATATGAAATTCACGCCGGTCAAATTAGTTCAGATTTAACCAAGTTTATAGTAAATAGTATTAGCGTTTTGTCTCTATATGTATATTCTAGGGGTATAACAAATCTAATGATACTTATTTTGTATCATGAATGTTAATACTTTTTTGTATATAAATTTAGTCAAATTTTAAACTTGAGAATTGTATTCTTTTGTGCACAGATGGAGTACTCAACATGCTACTAAGCCTCCTTTGGAACAGAAAGACCCACGCCCTGTTCGTTTAGGCTGGTTTGACTTATAAGCTAATAGAAAGACCCGATCCACGGGTTTATTATTCCACCTTTTCCATGAGCAACCCCAAATACCCAAGCGAACATGGGTTTCCCCCACCCACACACACACACGTGGAAGTTGGCTCCGGGCCAAACTAGCCCGACATTATTTGGAAGACATCGTGGAAGGGCCGAGCCACCCGACCCATGTGATATCTTCGGGGCAATGCTTCCCCATCGCTGTTAGGGTTCGGGTGTGGCTTCCTCAATCGGCGTGTATAGACGCAAGTTGCAATGACCAACACGCCACCGCCCTAGGAAGCACCGCCGCTGTTGTCTTCACCTCCAAATATCTAACAGGGGAATGCCATTCTAGGAAACAACTGTCCACTGAAATCCTGGTGAGGGGCGTCTCTTCGCTGGGCTAGCCCAGTTCTGCTTCCAAAGGAGGCATGAGTTAACCAACAATGTTTACCATAGTAGAGTAGCATATACAATGTAAAAGTTTAGTTTTCTGGTTCACGATGACGACTAGGCCTCCTAAGGCCAGTTTGTTTGGAACCCAGGATGAGTGCTTGCATTTTTTTTGGCTAATTATTCTTCATCAGCAGGCGACGTGCCTCTTGAAAATGATGCACGTGGAGTTTAATTTGGCATCGCCACAAAGGTACACAACTGTCTATGTGTGGGGAGCGGTGAGCTCGCGCCGTGGCAACGCCCTAATAAATTGCTCTTGCATTATGTGATCTTGGCTTGGAATTTAGAACTCAAGTGCGAAATTCTTGTACGAAGATTCTAAGATGCAAGGACACGCATTCCATGTATACGCGTACTCCCTCCATCCCAAAAATAATGTAATTCTAGGTTTCAGACAAGTTAAACTTTTCTAAGTTTGGGTAAGTTCATAGGAAAAACTATCAACGTTTCTGTTTTTAATTAGATTGACTATAAAGTATATTCTAGAATTAATCTAATGATATTTATTTAGTGTTATAAATGTTAATAACTTATTGCATAGATTTGGTTAAATTTAAACTCGTTTGACTCCTGAGTTGTTTTTTTTTTTTTTTTTACCGAGGGAGTATAGTTGAGTGGCGCATCGACAAAATTGAAGTGCAAGAGAGACAGTGAGGGAGAGGGAGAAGAAGTAGTTGGTCCGGTAAATAAAGCTGACGTACGTACTTGACATCATCACCATCACAAGTAGAGGTAGTGAATGAACGAACACGGATCCGTGTTCACATCGACGTAGTAGGAGTAGGAGTAGTACTCCATGTACAAGTCAAAGGTTGGCACTTGGAAGGTGGTATTTTTAACCAACACGGATTGGCCGAATCAGACAAGGTACGGTCGCTGTCAGTATCGGCCTACTCTATTAGTGAAGGAGCTGATGAGCACGCACGTTCTGGAGTACTCCGTATACTAGTTGCCAGTTGCTGCTGCTTCGTAGCAGCATGCATTGGCAAAGCTTCTAGTCTAGCCGACCCGGCCTGGCAGTAGCTAGCAGCTCGCGATAATATAATGAGCACGAGATTACATGTTTATTACCTCATGCATGGCCTCATGCTAATAATAACAATAATCATTCGCCACCTTACATAACTTCTCCCTCTCTCTTTTTCCTTTTGTGCGACGAAGCTTACATCTCTTTTTTTTTGTTTGTTTGTTGCAGGTTACGACTGTCTCTGTTCTGAAAATGATGTAATTCTAGCTAGATTTATAGTATCTACTAAAACTATCCAAA